AATTTCATTTTAAATAACTTATTTCTTGAAAAAATACCATAAAATTATTGCTTAAAAATTATTAAAGGAATAATTTTACCTATAACTTAAAAAAATAATGGAATTTTAAAATAGTTGATTGCCAGACAAAATTTTGACTTTTTCCCAGATCCTAAAAAATATTCTGGACTCTAAAAATTATTAGATACTCAGAAAAATTTTCTATTACATTTATGTACGAATTTCCTTGATTTAAAAATTATTCAAAAACACCAATAACTTCATTTTTCAAATAAGTAGGGGAGACTGGGGCGAAAAGTTAAATTTTGCATAAATGATTTTTTTTGGCAATATAAGCCGCTTTGATGCAAATATTTGTATATCAATATTGTAGGGCAACTTGTCCTCTACAACTTTCAATAAAAAAGTTCCTGATATTTTAGCAAAAAATACATGTTTTGTCCTTTTTTGAAAATTTTGTTTTTTTTTAACTTACTTAAACTATTTTCTGATAGGTGATAAGTAGTAGATAAGTTAAAGTACACGTAAACAAGTAATTTAGTAAATAAAAGATCTTTGTTTATTTGACAAAAGCTTTAGAATAGTTGTAAAGTTAAAAAATTGAAATTTCAAAAAAAAAAAAATTTTTTTTGGTTTATTTCACGTTAACCGGTTTATTTTTTGACAGAGTACTTGCCCAATGTCAAATAAATAATGTTTAAACAAATAAACCCAAAAAAACGAAAAATAAAAAAAAAATTTTAACAACATGTAAAAATACATTTAACTTTTCGCCCCACCCATTATTTAACTTTTCGCCTCAGGGTGCGTTTTTGGCTTTAACAACAAATGTAAAAAATCTAACTAAAGATATTTAGCAAATACCTTTAGATATCTCTTCAGGGGACCCAAATAAGGATCTAAAAAAATCGCGATGAGAATAAATTCAAAAAATATACTTAAAAGTTGATATTTTCTTTTTCGAAAAAATTTTCAAAAGTAGGTTGAAAAAAACTTTCAATATAGACACCACAAAAATGAACAGAATTGCATACAACTCCGGACATTTATTTAGGGTGTTAACACCCTTCTATAATTAAAATTGCAATGCTCTAACTATTTTCGTTCGAAAGATAATGAATTTTAACATGGAGGATAAATGGATCACTCCGAGTCTTCGACTCGGTGTAATCGATTTCTTTCTGATTTATAACAATTAAAAATAATCAAGTAATCATCATATCCTATTATTCATATTTTTTTAAATTAAGTAGTGAAAATAAATTTTAGTCCAGACTTTATATCCTATTCTATACTATATACTATTTTTAAAATTTTTATAAATTAAGTAGTAAAAATAAATTTTAGTTAGACTTCATTTCCAATTTTTCATATTATTCCAACATAAGTAGTAAAACCAAATTTTAGTCAGACATAATTTCATATTTTTCTAAAAAAATAGTAAAAACAAGTTTTAGTCAGACGGCATCTTATTTTTTGTATTTTTCAATTACATTTGTTTTCAATTCAATTTGACGTAAAATTTCGATTATTCGGAAATTTTTGAAGTAATTTTTAAAAAAAATTCCATTCAACTTTTTGTAGAAAATTATTTGGATTGAATATTTTATTTAAAAGTATAAAAAATTCAGATTTTTAAAGATTTTTATTCGAAACCTTGCCAAAATTTAATTATTTCGAAAAACTGCAATTCTTAGTAATTTCTTCAAAATTCAATTATTATATAAAACTTTAACTGAAATTAACTTTTAAATAAATTTTTATTACAAAATTCTACTCAGTTATTTAAATATAAACACAGATAATTTTTTAAATAATTGAATGTTTCTTCGAATTGAATTCTTATACATAATTTTATCAACAGATTATTATAAATAATTGAATTCTTTTGACTAATTTTAATCAAATTCTTAAAAATAATAACATTTTTCAACAGATTGGATTCAAATTGTATTAAAAATAATTGAAATTCTGCAATGAGTTTTATTATTTTTGAAAATAATTAAATTCCTAAAAGAAAATTTAAAGTTTATTAAAGTAATACAATTGCTGCGAAGACTTTAATGTTAAATTTTTAAATATCCTTTTTTTCGAAAAAATTTATGCAAATTCCATTTTAAATTATTGAATTTTTGTGAAATTTTTAGTTTCTTGGAAAATAATTAAATATTCGTGTAGAATTTTGTCAAAATGAATGAATTTTACTAAAATTCCTGAAAATAATTTTACTTTTTTGGAAGAATTTTGATGTTTATTTATGAAGATAATAATAATTGAAGTGTTGACAATTTTTTTACACTTTTTGAAAAAAATTGAATTTCTGGAAAGAATTTTGATATTTATTAAGATAGTTGAATTCTGTCAAAGAATCGGGTTAAACATTTTCAAAATTTAATCTAATTTTAACAAAATTGGAATTTACAATAAATTATTGTCATAAGTAGAAAAAATTTAAAGTTTTTTTACAATTCCTGATGATTTTGTAGTATATGAGGCAAACAAGAAAGACACAAAAAATCAAAATTTTCTTATAAATTCTAAAAATCCAAAATTTTTCATATCTTTTAATTAAAAAGTCTGTGGAAGTAATATTTTCGAAAAAGTTTAGCACACTTTTCTTGATAATATCGAATTGATTCTAAAGTGTGTTAATTTAATATCAAGATGTGGATGAAATAAAGTATTGACCTAATTTTGTATGAAATTGATATACTTGATATTAATTTAATACATTCAAGAAAACTGTGAATTGAAATTTTTTGAAATTATTTCAAGTTTTTATTTTCTAATATACCTATATTTTCGAATAATCCAAAAGTCGTAAAATTGAATTGAAAAATAAATGGATTTGAAAATTTTCAAAAAAGTTTGTAAAAATAATTAAATAATTGATTTAAAAAAAAATTTTAGTTAAAAATTGTAAAAAATAACAATTGAATTGAAATGATGAAAATAATTTAGATAAAGTTACAGTAACAATATTCTTATAAATCATGTAAAAAGGAAATTAAATTTGGATGGTAACCCTGCTTTAGTAATTAAATTATTTTCATAAATAACAAAATTCAATTAAATAAACATATTAATGTTTTCGAATTATTTTTCAACTAAAGAAATTGATAAAAAAATGTAATGGAACATATTTTGAGTAACTAATCATTTTTATAGTGAATCAGAATATTCCTTAAGGTGAGGGAAAAATTCTAAATTTTGTCTGGAAATCAGGGAAAAGTTTAGGAAAAACAAAGTTAAATGTATGTGAAGACTCTGATAATAAACTTATTATAATTTCAATGAATTCTAAAATGCAAAAAATCAATTTAATGATAATTTGTGTGTGGAGATATTAAATATTATTTTTAAGAAAACAAATTTGGTATTAAATAGGTAAATTGTAAAATGGGCTTAAATAAATTAAGATTGTATTATTAGCAAAAAAATTTTTTATTTACGTAATCAACATATATTGTTGAAGCGTTACTTTTTATATCACTTCTGTTGCACGCCAAATTAATTTTGTGCAACTAATTATTAAAAATTGATAGGATGACGTGGAAATAACTCTGGAATAGTAAACTTGTAATTTTAATACTTTTCATTTATTCACTATCATTTACATAAATTGGTAGTGTAAGAAAACCGTGACATTAATTTTAGTTCGCGACGGAGTATTCAACAAGACGTTTCATTTGAATCTGTTTTATCTCTTAATTTCTATTGCAGTTTGGAGTGTTGAATTTGAGGAAATTTTTAGGAAAGGGAAAAATTAGGGAGTGTCAGGAAATTAAGTCATTTGATTGGTTTTCAAATTCTATTGAAATTGGAGGAGATAGACAAGTGGTGGTGGCAAATGGTTAAGCGATGGTTATCTTGAAAATCGGAGTCTTGGTACATAAAATTTTGCAAATTTTGCACTCAATCATAAAAATAGATTTTTATGATTGAGTTGTCCCTTTTTTATGATGGGCAGCTTTTCGAACGTGTCGTTACAGAGTATTGCTGGGATTAAGATTTTAAAATTAGAAAGTTTATACAGCTATAATCCGCTTACTTTAGTCAAGAAAAAAAATGGCTAATACATATTTTTGGAAATACCAATTTTTTTTGCTTTTAAATATATTTTACTAAGTTTTTACAACGTAACATATATTATATATTATATTTATATATATATATATATATATGTACATATATACAATATCGAGTCTGCCCTCTTTCATTATTATCACATATTCCTATTGATTTTCTAAAAAAATATAAAATACATATTGAAAAAATTGAGGAAAATGTTGTTTCAAATGTAAAAACATTGATTTCTAGTCCAATTAATAGAAAAATTAGCTTTGAAATATTATTTTTCATTTAATAGAAAGTTTGATATTTTTGGAGAAAAAAGACAATTAAATCCAAATTAATATTGAAAAAATTAATAAATTTATATTTTTATATTTAAACATTCATTTTTTCAATGAAAATTTGCATTCGATTGTCTTTTCTTCTCGAAAATTGTCAAAAAAATGAAAGTTTGAATAGAAAAATGTAAATTTATTCATTTTTTTAAATGTTAATTTGCGTTCGATTCTCTTTTTTTCTAAAAAATATATCAAACTTTTTATTTCTTGAATAATAATATTTAAAAAGCAAATTTTATTATCTAGAGATCCATGCCTTAATAAATAAAATATTATTTTCCTAATATTTTGTCAAGATTTATTACATATGTTGAAAAAAATTAATAAATTTTTATTCTTGTATTTCAACATTCATTTTTTTCAATGAAAATTTGTATTCGATTGTCTTTTCTTCTCGAAAATTGACAAAAAAAAATAAAAAAATAAAATAATAATAATAAAATAATTTTTTTTAATAAAAAATTATATTTAAAAGCAAATTTTTGTACTAATTGGAATAATAATAATAATAATAAATAAAATATTATTTTTTTTATATTTTGTCAAAATTTATTTTATATTTTTTAAGAAATCCGGTGGGAATATTAATACATGTACATGTATTAATTGAATAATTAATAAAAAAAATTGCTTTTTATTTATCAAGTCGTTATTATTTCATCATTAATTGAATAATTAATAAAAAAAAATTGCTTTTTATTCATCAAGTCGTTATTATTTCATCATTAATTGAATAATTAATAAAAAAAAATTGCTTTTTATTCATCAAGTCGTTATTATTTCATCATTAATTGAATAATTAATAAAAAAAATTGCTTTTTATTCATCAATTTGTTATTAGTTCATCATCTATTAGTTCGGTACTGCTGCTACCGGTACTTAAATTATCACTGCTCATGTTTTCAATGTGAATTATTTTCTTTTTTTTTGCAGGTTTCTCCTCTGCAATACAGTCTTTTTGAAAATTTTTATTTGTCCGCACGATAAGGATGTCGTCTATCATATCATGACTCAGGTTAGTGCGCAAGTCTGAAATGATAAATTTCATACCTGAAAATAGTCTTTCGACGCTAACCTGAGTCATTGGGGCAGCATGTACAATTGTCGCTAGACTGTAGAGTTCTGGAGATGATGATTTTCTAACTTCCCAGTATTTTAAAATGTCCTCTTTTAATGGTATTTTAGGAGTTTTTGCAAACTCGTCTAAAAGACTTTCAATTTGAGAAACGCCGCCATTGGAAAGTCTGAATTGTCTTTCCGCGTCTCTTCTTTGAATTTCTAGCGAAAGAAGATCGACATCTTCATCCAGTTCCATCTATGAAAATATATTAAAATTATGACTTTTGGTTTTCTTTTTTGTTCGCCTCGTAAACTATACAATTGTCACAAATTCTAAAAAAAACTTTAAAATTTCCCTATTTCTGACAATTTTTCGTTTTTAATAACTTATAAATTATTGAATGTATTTTTTTTTTAAATTTTAATTTCAATCAAGATGAAATAAACTATTTGACTTTTTTAAATATGCAAAATTCCTCACAGAAATTCAATAAATTATTTTTAAAATTTTAGGAAACATTATCGACAAGAATTCAATTATTTCAAAAAATTTATGGTCAAGATTTTAATTATCTTTTCTCCAAAATTCAATCTTTTATTAAAATTTATTAAAAAATTCTCGATAAGATTTAAATTATCTTTATAAATACAAAAATTCCGAAATACAATTATTTTTTAAAAACTTTAATTAAATTCATTGCACAATTTAAATTATTTTCAAAGAATTTTCTTAATTCAACGATTTTCAATATCTACCCACTAATTTAACAAAAATTTCCCAAAACAATTCTATTGCTAAAGAAAATAAACTATTAACAATTTTTTTTTATAAAATTCTTCCTAATAATTCAATTATTTTCAGAAATAATAAAACTCATGTGAAATTTTTAATTATATGAAAAAATTTTTCTTAATTCAATAATTTGTATCTGTTTATAATTTGTAATTTATTATTTAAAAAAAAATTTCCCAAAAGATTAAGAACAATTTTGACAAAATTCTACACAAATATTCAATTATTTTCAAAAATAATAATTTTTCGAAATGAATCAATTGTTTGCAACTTTTTTATGAAATTCTGCGCAATAATTTAATTATTTTCAAAAGCATAATAAAAATTCTCGTCACAATTTCAATTATCTTTAAAAATTTTAATAAAATTCTTGGTCAAATTTCAATTATTTAAAAAAAAACTTTTAATATAATTCTACGCAAACACTTAATTACTTTCATAAATAATAGAAATTTCACAGAAATTTAATTATTTGTAAATTAAAAAAAAATGTTCTCAATTCAATTATTTTCAAAATTAATAAATTCCTCGCAGAAATTCAATTACTTTAAACAAAATTTTTTTTTAAAATTGTGGTCAACATTTTAATTATCTTTATAAATAAACAGCAAAATATTAATAAAATTCATGGCAAACTTTTAATTATTTTCAAAAATTTATACACATAACCTAAAAATTTGAAGGACTATTTTAAGGTGCTTATTTTCACTTTAATTTCTAAGAGACTGAATAATTTTCTTGTCTGTTAATATTAATTTCAATAAATAAGGGAAACTCATTAAATTGGTTAATATGTCTACAAGTGAGGCAGATAAGTGCACTAAGTGCGGAAAAGAAATGTCACGCGTGACTCCTAAGCTTTGTCCGGGTTGTCATTCTCCCTATCATCCTGGTTGCATCGTACAAATGACAACTTTGCCGAATGGATCATTCACTAAATGTTGTAAACCGAGATCTTCATCTCCTTCAGTATCACCAAACTATATGGATACAGTTTTAAAAGCTATTACTGATTTAAGATGTGACATGAATGACAATTTCAAGGAGGTTAATTCAAAGCTGGATGACGCTTTATCACGTTTGAGCATCACTGAAGGTAGAGTTAATAATCTAACTGAACGTATGAATGTGGTTGAGGCAAAACTGGAGGGGAACTCTGACATTAACTTGAACACTAACGAATGTATCAAAGAAATTAATGATCGTACTGTCCGTAAAAGTAACCTTCTTCTTTTTGGACTTCCTGAGAACAAATCACCTAACACTAACACATCTTCTTCTACTGATAAGAATGACAATCCTTGTTCCGTTATAAACATCCTTCATAAGTATATTTCTCCACATAAGTTAGAGAATATACGTGTACACAGAATTGGCACAACTGCGCAGGTACAAAATCCAAAACCTCGACCGGTGAAAATCATCTGTGCGACGGAGGAGAAGGCACAAGTAATCCTGAAAACATTTGTAGCTGCCAAAAAAGAGCAAAATCACTCACGGGAACTAAAGGATCTTTGGATGACAAACGACAAGACAAAAATGCAACTACAGGAAATAAAAACTATGAAAGAACAGCTGACTTTACGCCAACAAGGAGGAGAGGAGAACCTTGTCATGGTATTCAGGAGAGGAACTCCCACCATAATCAAGAAACCCCCCGTGCGACAACGTACACAGCTCGACGAAAACGGTGTGAAGTTAGTCACATAGACCTTTCTACTACTGTTGATGCGAGTGCTGATCTCCCCGCTACTCATTATTCCCCTATTCAGATTTACTATCAGAATGTAAGAGGCGTGCGCACCAAGATACATGAGCTCCGTCAAGGTATTTCTTTTAATATATATAGTATAGTCGCGTTTACAGAAACTTGGCTATATTCCGGTATTGGATCTGAGGAGCTTGGTTTCTATGCTTATGACGTATACAGACTTGATCGAAGTATCTCAACTAGTGCGAATGCTCGAGGGGGAGGTGTTTTGATGGCATTCAAACGGGAATTAAAAAGTTCTCGCATTTTCACACCATTTGATTCAATTGAATATGTTTTTGTTAAGTTTAAGCAAGCTAAAAAAATTTTTATTTTGGGATGTTTTTACATTCCCCCCAACTCAACGGTTAATTCTTATAAAGAAGTCAGTAATATTCTTGAATTTGTTAATAACAAGTATGGTGATGCAACATTATGTATTCTAGGTGATTTTAATTCACCTTTTATAGTCTGGAATTTTGATTATATAAATAATTTGTCATGCGCAGTGAATTACGGTTTGACAAATCAGCAACTATTAATAGCTTCTGAAATTATTGATGTAATAGATTTTATGGGTTTATTTCAAATTAATTTTAATTTTAATTTACATGGTTCTCTTTTGGATTTGGTTTTTTGTAATCCTGAAAGTTTCTCTGTGACTGCATTAAGTGATTCAATTCTACCCGTTGACAGCTATCATCCACCCCTTGTTATTGATATTCATTCTACTTCCAACAATTTTAATTTACATAATAACAATAATATTCAATATGACTTTAAAAATGCTGATATTGCAAAAATAACTTCCTTTCTTAACGATATTGTTTGGAATACTGTTCTTAGTGTTGATAACGTGGATGATGCTGTAGATATATTTTATAACATAGTATATGAGGCGTTTAATAATTTTATTCCTTTGAAGTTTGTAAATACTAAGATTATGTCACCGTGGTTTACTCGAGAATTAAGAGATTTGGTTTTACAAAAAAAGAGATTGCATAATATTTATAAAAGGGAGAGAAATAATTCAAATTATTTAGCGTTTTCCAAGGTTAGATCTGATTGTAAAGCGTTATCTACATCTTGTTATAATAATTTTATATCAAACACAGAAAATTCAATAGTTGACAACCCGAAGTATTTTTGGAAATTTGTAAATTTAAATAGACAATGTCATTCTTTACCTGGTGCCATGTATTTAAAAGAGGAAAGTAGTGAATCTCCTGTTGAAATTGCTAATCTTTTTGCGAAATTTTTCAAATCTGTCTATAACACTACTACACTGCGACCTAACGATGTAACATCTACAGAATTTAGTGAGGTGAATCTTAATTCAATAACGATAACAAGAAACGATATATTTGTAAAAATAAGAAACTTGGATGCAAATAAGGGAGCAGGTCCAGATGGAATCCCTCCTTCTTTGATTCGTTCATGTGGCTTTTCATTTGTTGAACCACTGTTTATTTTGTTTAATAAATCCTTGAATATGAATAAATTTCCTAATGAGTGGAAAAAGGGTATTATATCTCCTGTTTTTAAAGATGGTATTAAAAATAATATTGAAAATTACAGGCCAATAACATTACTCAGTTCAATTTCTAAAATTTTCGAAGGTCTTATTTATGAGTCGTTGTATGTCGCGTCATCAAACATTATAATTGATGAGCAACACGGGTTTGTTCGTGGTCGCTCTACAATTACTAATCTCGGCATCTTTGTTGATTATTTGTCAACAAATTTGGAAAAGGGACACCAGATTGACGCGATATATGCCGATTTTACTAAGGCATTTGATAAGGTTAATCATAGCATTCTTCTTGAAAAGCTACGTAGAATGGGTGTATCTCCAAATATAATTTTGTTTTTGGAAAGTTATCTATCGGGGAGATTTCAAAGAATAAAATTTAAAAGTGAATATTCAGATCCATTTTTGGCAACTTCTGGTGTTCCACAAGGCTCGAATCTTGGACCACTCTTGTTTGTTCTTTACATGAATGACATTAAATTTATTTTCAAGACTTGTTTTTTTTTGCTTTACGCCGATGACCTAAAAATTTATAATGTTGTTAGTTCAAGTCCTTTACATATTCAGACCGATTTTGATCGCGTGATCCAATGGTGTGACAGTAATCAAATGTCAATAAATGTTAAAAAGAGTTATGTTATCTCGTTTTCTAAGAAAAGTACTTTGATATATTGTTATACTGTTGGTCATGAGGAGCTTACAAGGGTTACTTGTATTCGGGACTTGGGTCTTCTTCTATGCAGTGATCTCTCATTTAATAGACATATATCTGAAGTAACTTCAAAAGCATTAAGAGTCCTAGGTTTTATAACTAGAAACGCATCTATGTTTCACAATATAAATACACTTAGAATTCTTTTCTTCTCTTTGGTGAGATCGCTGCTGGAATATGCCTCTGTAATATATGTGCCTTTTTATGATTTTAATGTGATAAGACTTGAAAGAATTCAAAATAGATTTCTCCGTTTTGTGGCGCGACAGTTTAACATACCATTTGACAGATGCGCCCATGACTACAGTTCATTACGACTATTACTTAACACTCCACTAATTGCATCTAGGTTTCTGTTTAATGATTTGACTTTTTTCTATAAGATTATAAATGGTGTTAATGATTGTCCACATTTATTGTCATTATTTAATTTATCTGTTCCTACTAGAGTTACTAGAAATTACACATTATTTGTGAAATCGTTCCATAGAACAAACTACGGATACCACTCTCTTGTAACAAGACTAGGCAGAGAGGCTAATTCTGTCTCTAATGTTATTGATTTTTTTGACAATAATTATTTAAGATTTACCTCCACATTGCGTAAGTTCACATTAAATTTTTGATTCTATTACTGCCTAGTGCAGGCTAACTAATTATTATTGATTAAAATAGGTTGTGGTTTGCAGCCTTTAGATTGTAAGAGTACTTTGTACGAAAGGGCTTGACCCGTAAATTTGTTAAATAAATAAATAAAAAATAAATTTTTTTTTAATTCAATAATTTGTAGGTAAATGAATTATTTTAATAAAATTTCCCAAAAAAAAACATTCAATTATTTAAAAAATAAAATTTGACAAAATTCTACAGGCAGATTCAATTATTTTCTAAAATATTGAAAATTTTACAGGAATTCAATTATAATCAAATAAAATTTGTAGAAATTCTTTCCAAAGAAAGCAATGTGTTGACAGATTTTTTTAATAAAATTTTTCGCAACAATTTAATTATTTTCAGAAATAATAATTTCAATTATATTTAATACAATTTAAATCAAATTCTTTGAAAAATGTAACTATTTTAAAATTTTTTATTAAAATTCATCAAAACAATGCAGGAAACATTTATTATTCAATAAATAATTTACTTTTGGATTCGGTCATTTTTAATTGTTATAAAACGTATTTTTTTAAAATACATTTTCTTAAAGAATCTACACCATACCTATGATGTTTTATATATTTAAAAATTTAAAAAGTAAAAAAACAAACATCAAACTGTGGACAGAATGAATAAAAGAATTATGAAGATGAATTTAACTAATTTTTGCTAAAAATTTATTTTTTAAAAATAATAAAATTTAATTTATTTAAAAATTAAAAAGTAACAAAATTAAAATTATGTTTAAAATTAAAAAAAAAATTCTTGTCCTAATTTAAATTATTTTCAATATCAAAATTTAATAAAATCGTACACAAACGTTTAATTATTGTCAAAAATAAAAAAAAAATCCACAGTAATTCAATTATTTACAATTTTTTTTTTAAAATTTCTTTGCAATCATTCCATTATTTTCATAAATTTTTAATCATTATTTTAAAATAATATTTTTATAAGTTGTTTAATTTCAAAAAGCTTTAAATTTGGAATTTTTGAATTTCTTAATTCCCGTGGAAAAATAATAATAATTAACCTATTTTAAAAAAAATATTAATGTTTTTGAATAATTTTATAATTAAAGAAATTCGTAAAAATGTAACAGAACATTTTTTTTTTTTTGAGATAAATTTTTTCCTTTATTTATTAAAAATTTCAAAATTTTTATTTTCAATGAAAATTATGCATAAAATGGGTATTTATTTATTATTTCTTAATCATAATTTTTTAATAAATTTTCTATTTTTTATGAATAAACAAGAGAAAAATTTGCATAATTTAAATAAGTCAAACAAAATTTTTGTTATAAAAAAGCATATAATGAACAAAAGGGATAAGATAAAGAATAAGACGATTATTATAGTCAATTGCTTACCAGGCTGTCTTCTGTTGGTGGTACCTGTGTCTCTTCTTCATTTGTCTTTTTTATGGCGTCCCATACTATAAGCAAAGTTTCTTTGGCTATTTTCATGGTTGTTTCTTTGAGAAGCGGTAAATACCTCGGGTCCAAAAACATTGAGGCAAGAAGTGCCTCATTTTCCATCAAGTGTTTTTCTCTTTTAATCATCGAGCTCTTTAATTTCTTTGCAAATAGTGTATCTATCCTTTCTGTTTCCAATTTGCAAGTGTACCAAATACCGTAAACATCCCCTGGTACAAGATTTTGGGTTTGCAACCGCAACGTTGCTTTTTTACATGGTGACAACGCTTTTAAGCAGTCCTCGATGTGGCACCATTCCTCATCGGCTAAAGAAAGAGCCGGTTTTTCGGCTTCGAAATCTTTACAGAATTCTTTAGCCGAGAGTAATGATGCCAACATACTGCATGTGGAACTCCAGCGTGTAACGACATCGAGAGTTGGCTTATTCACGTTATATTTTTTCTTCAATGTCTGAAGCGTTGACTCGTTTCTTAGAGCTTTTACCGCATGTCTTGCCTAAAATAAAATTAATCCAATGAAATCTAATTATTTACAATTACTCTCTAATACTGAATCAGTGAAATTTCACTGAAGATCAGTTAAAAATGATTGAAATTTCAGATATTTTTCACTGAATGGTCATGTAAAAATAACTGAAATTTTCAGTAGTTTTTTAATTGTCAAATCAGTGGAAAATGACTGTAATTTCAGTTATTTTTAACTTACTTTCAGTGAAATTCCACTGATTCAAATCGCGAGAATAGAGTCACTGATTCTCAGTCAAATTTCACTGATTTTCAGTGGAATTTCATTGATTAAGATTGAGAGAGTAAATTTTACGAAATTTCATTTATTAGAAAATTTGTCAATTCAAATATGTAAATTTTTAAAAAAATTATTTAAAATTAAATCTAAAGAAATAAAATTTTTAGACATTATTCAAAATACAACTTTTAAAAAATTTTAATTTGTAATTCTTTTGATTATTTATACAAATTTCTACTACAACTTTTCTAACATTACATTATTTTTATAAACTTTTATTTACAATTTTTGTTTAAATAAATTATTTTTAATAATTAAAAAAAAAATTTTTTTTTATAAGTTCTATTATTGAAAGTAAAGATACATTTAAAGAAATTTCAATAAATTAAAAATTCACTTGTTTACAATTCAAGTTTACGAAATTTCGATTGTTCCAAAATTCTTCCATTATAGATGTATATATAACAGAATAGATAATTTGAATAATTTCAAAAAAATTCAGTTACACTTTTTGAAAAAAAATAATTATTCTACAGAATTATAAAATTATAAATTATAAAATGTTTCTTAAAATGAAATTCATTCGAAGAATTTATCAACAAATTTGTAGATAATTGAATTGAGTCGACGAATTTTAAGAAAATTTCTAAGCATAACTATATTTATCGAAAAATTTGATTAAAATTGTATTAAAAATAATAGAATGTCTAAAAAAGAATTTCAGTATTAATAATTAATTTTTTTTTAAATATTGAATGCAAATTCTATTTTTTAAATAATTATTTTCTAATCAAATTCTATAAAACGATTCAATCATTTTCAAAATATATTCGAAATTCAATTATTTTCAATATCTAGTATTTTTAAACAATTTTGCAAAAGAGTTTAATTATTTTAAAAAAAATGTATAAAATTCATCCAAAATTCAATTATTTTTATAAATAATCAAATTTCCACCGAAATTCAATTAATTTAGAATAGCATTTTCAAAAAAATTTCGAAAAAATCAATTATTTAACAAAATTTTTTAAAAATTTTTTACAATAATTCAATTACTTTCACTAATAATAACATTTTTCATGGAAATTTAATTAATAAAAAAATAATTGATAAAATTCTAAACAAAAATTCAAATACTTTCACAAATAAAGTGTTCCACAAGAATTAAATTATTTAAAATACAATTTTTATAATATTTACTACATTTCGAAAAAATTAATTATTCAAACAATTAAATTAATCAATTAATCAATTATGTTTATAAATAATAAAATTAATTGCATGATTTCAATTATTTTTAATAAAATTTCACTGGAATTGATTAAAAAATGTAATTATTCTTAAAAATTTAATTTCAATTCCTTAAAAAAATAAAAATTATTTAAAAAAAAGTTTTATCAGAAATGTTATTATTATTATATATTATATATTAATTTTATCAGAACTTTTAAAAATAATTATATTTCTATGATGAATTTTATTATTTATATAAAATTTTGACGAGAAATTTAAAAGAAATTTGAAAATAATTGTATTTTTAGGATGAATTATATTATTTATAAAGATAATTGAAATTTTGACAAGAATTTTATTACAAAAAGAAATTTTTTAAAATTTTTTTTTGTTTTTTTACAAATAATTAAATTTTAGAGAAGAATTTTATCATTTATAAATATAATTGAAATTTTTAACAGATTTTTTTAAAAATGTTTAAGAGCAATTGAATTTTGATATTTTTAAAAATAATTGAAATTTTGAGGAGAATTTGAAAAAAAAATTCAAAAATAATTGAATTTCTGTTAAGAATTTTCTTACTTTTGAAGATAATTGAATATTGCAAAAAATTTTATCAGAACTTTTGAAAATAATTAAATTTCCAAGATGAATTTTATTATTTATAAAATTTTGTTGAGAAATTTAAAAAAAAATTTGAATATAATTAAATTTCCGCGAATAATTTCATAACTTTTGAAAATAAATTAATATCAGAGAAGAATTTTATTATTAATAACGAGAATTGAAATTTTGACAATAATTTTATTAAAAATTTTTTTAAATAATTGAATTTCGGAGAAGAATTTCATTATTTGTAAAAATAATTGAAATTTTGAACAGATTTTTTTAAAAAAATGTTAAAAATACCTCATTAAAATTTTGCTATGAATTTTATTAAATTTTATTAAATATTATTCCGGATTGTTTGATATTAAAGTATGTTTTGACGAGAAATGTGATTTTTTTACAATTTTGTGTTTCCTTTATGGCGTTTTTTTCTTAAATTTCATGCGACTTTTTTCTGACTATTTCTGAAATTTTATGCGACTTTTCGTGACTTTTGATGTGAATTTATGCGACTAAAGCGACTTTTTTTGAGTCTTATAGACGATCCAAGCCCTGAGTTTTGAAAACCAAAAATTTCTTCTTGGAAATTCAATTATTTAAAAAAATTTTAATAAAAATCGTTCGCAAGAATTCAATTATTTTCATGAATAATAAAATGCTTTTTAGGATTTCAATTATTTAAAAAAAAAAATTAATAAGATACCCACACATACATTCAATTGTGAAAAATTTTAACATTTTTTTTTTCTTTGTAAAATTTTATTATTTTTAAAAACATTTCCCAATTCAATAATTTTCAATATATATTATTTTATTCATAAAGTTTTCAAACAGAATTTAATTATTTAAAAAATTTATTGTTAAAATCTTCGTAAGAATTTAATTCTTTTTATGAATATTAAAAATTTCTCAGGAAATTAATTATTTAAATTAGAATTTGCATAAAAAAATTGAAAGAAATCAATTGTTTAAAAATTTCCATAAAATTCTTCGCAATACTTAAATTATATTTATAAATATTTAAATTCTTTCGTGAACAAAAAAATTCATTGCTGGAATTCAATTTATTATCAGGATAAGAAAGAAGTAAATATTTTTGATGAAAATTAGGAGAAATTTAGGAAAATAAAATATTGAATGGAATTTTTGTCAGTTTTGTGAAGTGTCTAAAACGAGTTTTTTTTACCGTTAAATTTCATTTTTCAATAGCTACTTTTTTATTCTGAATTAGTTAAAAATAACTAATTATTAGTAAAATCGTGGATGAAGTAAAGAAAATTATTAAAGGGAAAACAATTTTTAAAAATTACCAAGCATTTTAATAAAATTCTTGAAAATAATGAAATTTTGGAGAAGAAAAATGTTGTGGATACTGATGAAAATATTGAAATATATGGGACATTCCACGTCAACACAGACAGAGCTCTAAACAAAAATTGCTTTGATGGATTTAAACGTTCTAGGGCTTAAAAGATTTCTACGTTCATGTACTTTAAGATGCCAATGGGCGTTTTTTGCAAATTTTCATTTCCGATGCCAATAGAGCTGTCAAAAGTCAAAAGGTCCAAAAATCTCAAAATACTTTTATGAATTAAAAGCAAAAAACGAGGTAAATAATTCTGTAACTCATTCTTTATCAGTTTTTAGGGTTCCCGAATATAAATCTAAAGTTTTTTTTTTATCCAAAATGGCGAATTCAATATGGCGGACAAAATTCAAATTTGATCAGATTCGATTAAAACTTGTTACTCGGGGGTTTTTAGGGTCGCTGATTACGAATCTGAAGTCACTTTTTAAAAATTCAAAATGGCGGATCCAATATGGCAGAAAAAATCTTTAAATTTGATCCGATTCCCTTAGAACGTGTTACTCGGGGGCTTTTGGGGTCGCAAATTATGAATATGAAGTTACTTTGTAGAAATTCAAAATGGCGGATCAAATTTTTTAATTTGATCAGATTTAATTAAAAAGTGTTACTCAGTGGTTTTTAGCGTATCTGAATATGAATTTGAAGTCTCAAACACAAAGTAACTTCATATTCATAATCTGCGACCCCAAAAGCCTCCGAGTAACACGTTTTAAGGGAATCGGATCAAATTTGGAAATTTTTTCCGCCATATTGGATCCGCCATTTTGAATTTTTAAAAAGTGACTTTAGATTCGTAATCAGCGACCCTAAAAACCCCCGAGTAACAAGTTTTAATCGAATCTGATCAAATTTGAATTTTGTCCGCCATATTGAATTCGCCATTTTGGATTTAAAAAAAAAACTTTAGATTTATATTCGGGAACCTTAAAAACTGATAAAGAATGAGTTACAGAATAATTTACCTCGTTTTTTGCTTTTAATTCATAAAAGTATTTTGAGATTTTTGGACCTTTTGACTTTTGACAGTTCTATTGGCATCGGAAATGGAATTTTTCAAAAAACGCCCATCGGCATCTTAAAGTACATGAACGTAGAAATCTTTTAAGCCCTAGAACGTTTAAATCCATCAAAGCAATTTTTGTTTAGAGCTCTGTCTGTGTTGACGTGGAATGTCCCATATTCACAAACCTTGGCAATAATTCGATTCACTGATGGATCGTTGATAGCGTCCAACACTGCCAATTGTAAGGTGTGGACGCAGCACCTTACCAATGTTGTCGCCGAAAAATTTACCTCGTTGTTGACAGCTTCATCGACTGAATCCTCTTCTACTTGAGTTTCTTGCAGCAATTCGCCTAGCTTCACCATGTTCCGACCATTGTCAGAAGTAAAAGTGTAAATTCGGTCGTTAAATATATTATAATTACTTAAAATTTCGTTCACTACGATTTTTAAGTTTTCCGATGTGTGGGAGGAGAATAACTCTCTTACCGCAAGGGTACGCAAATGAAGGGCGCCATCCTTGACGAACTGTATATTAAGACCAAAAAACGAACGGTTGTGCCTACTGGCAATGTCAACCTTCATACTGATCAACGGAATCTATTGGAACAAGAGCAAAGTTGAATTTAAATTATTCGACTTTGACTTAGATTAAATTAAGTAATAAAAGTAAATTTTAGTCAGACTTAATTTCTTATTTTTTCAATTTTTCTAAATTAAGTAAATTAAATTATAATTAAGTAAAAACATATTTTGGTCAGACGTTATGTACTATTTTAAAAATTTTTCTAAATGAAGTAGAAAAAATAAATTTTAGTTACACTTCATTTCAAATTTTTCATATTTTTCCAACAAAAGTAGTAAAAACAAGTTTTAGTCAGACATAATTTCATACTTTTCAAAGTTAAATAGTAAAAACAAATTTTAGTCAGACGGTTATTTTATTATATTATTCGAAAATTCTTCAATTAAATATACATTGAAAAATTAAAACTTGAAGTAATTTAAAAAAAAAATTTCATTCAACTATTTGTAGAAAATTAGTTCCATAGAATTTTTAACTAGAAGTATGAAAAATTGAGATTTTTTAAGATTTCTTTTCAAAACCTTGACAAAATTAAATTATTTAAAAAATTTTTAATAATTAAAGTTATTGATAACTTCTTCAAAATTTAATTATTATATATGAAACTTTAACTGAAATTAACTTTTGAATTAATTTCTATTTGAAAATTCTATTCAATTATTTCAAAACAAACATAGTTAATTTATTAAATAATTGAATATTTCTTGGAATTGAATTCTTAATATACATAATTCTATCAACAAATTAATATACATTTTTCGTGAAATTGGATTTAAATTGTATTAAAAAAAATTGAATTTCTGCAATGAGTCTTTAATGGCAAATTTTAAAATATTCTTTTTTTTTTTTAAAAAATTTATGCAAATTCCTTTTTAAATATTTGAATTTCTGTGAAATTTTTATTTTTCTGAAAATAATTAAATAGTCCTGTAGAATTTTGTCAAAATTGTTTTGAAATAATTGAATTCTTGTGATGAATACTATTATTTATGGAAATAATTGACTTCTGCAATTCATTTTATTAAAATTTCTGAAAATAATTGATTTTTTTTTGAAGAATTAGCAACAATTCGCGCAGCTAACTTTGTAGTACCTTTTTTAAATAAAATTAGCAATATTAAAAGTTGTAGAATTTAAAAATATTCTAACTTAAATTTTTGTTGAAAACATAAAAAAATTCAATTTTGGAGAATTTATAAATAATTTCAAGAATTCAATTGTTTTTAAAAAAATATATAAAATTCTTATTCAATTAAACTATGTTTAAAATTTGAAAAAAAATTCTCGTAAAAATCCCAATTATCCTTGTAAATAACAAAATTCTTCTCTAAAGTTCAATTATTTTTAGAAATTTTTCTCAATTTTAATGATTTTCAATGTCTACGATTTTAATGAAATTTCCCAAAACGAATTCAATTATTTAAAAAAAAATTTAATTTGAAATTTTAGAAAATTACAATTTTGAATAAATGAATTAAATAATAATAATTTCACAAGAATTTTATTATTTACAATTTTTTTTATAAATTTCTTTGCAATAATTCAATTATTTTCATGAAGAATAACATTTTATTTCACCAGGAATTTACAATTATTTTTAAAAATAATAAAATTCTATCTGTAGGCTTTCAATTATTTTCATAAATAATAAAAATCATTGCATCATCGCAGAATTGTAATTATTTTTAGTACAATTTTAATGGGATTTTTTGAAAAATGTAATTATGCTAAAAGTTTTGATTAAAATTCATTTTTAAAAATTTTAATAAAAATTCTTTTTAACAATCCAAATTTTTTTTTGAAAATAAATTGAATAAAATTCTTTATAAAAGTTAATTAATTTCAATAATTTATTAAAATTCAATTATAGTTTTAATATCTACTATTTCAATAAAAATTCACAAATGAATTCAATTATTTAAAAAGAAATAAATTATTAAAATTCTTCTCAGAATTTTAATTATTTTCAATACAATTATTAACAAATTTGAATGTATTCAATAAATTACAGAAATTTTTCAAAAAAATTAAATTATTTTTAAAATTTTTTAATATCATTCAAGAATTAAATGCTTAATTTCAATTATTAAGAAAGAGGATTATTGTTAAAACTTGAAAGAAATTGTTCATATAGAATTTAATTAAGATTATGTAAAATTTTAATAAAATTCTTCCTAAATTCACTTATTTTCATAAATAATAAAGTTCTTTGAAGAAATTAAAAAATTATCAAATATTTTAATGAAATTCTTTGCAAGAATTCAATGATTTGCAAACTTTTTATAAATTTTTTCACATTAATTCACTTATTTTCATAAATAATGAAGTTCTTTGAAGAAATTAAATTCATTCATTTGCAAATTTTTTATAAATTTTTTCGCAATAATTCAATTATTTCCATAAATAATATAAAATTTTTACAGATATTCAATTATTTTCATAAATAATATAATTTTCGCATGAATTTAATTATTTGCAAAAACAATTTTTATAAAATTTTTCGAAAAAATAAATCAATTATTTAACAAATAAATTAGTAAAAGTTCTTCGTGAAGATTCAATTATTTTTGTGAATGTTGCAAAAATTCAATTATTTTTAAAACTTTTGATAAAATTCTCGGCAAACATTTTCCTCAATTCAATGATTTTCATAATCTACTAAAATTTTTCAAAAGAATTCAATTATAAAAATTTTGAAGAAATTCTTACGCAACATTTAATTATATTCATAAAATAATTAAAATTCCACAAGGAATTCAATTATTATTTTCATAAAAAATAACTTAAAATTCTAGAAAATAATAATTGAATTAAGATAATAAAAATAATTTTGATGAAGTTACAGTAACAATATTTTTATATTATAATATAAAATAATGATTTTATCACTCGGTCATTTTTAATTACTATAAAACATGAAGAAATCGATCACTTCGAGTCTTCGACTAGGAGCAATCGATATCTTCATGTTTTATAAAAATACTTTTATAAGTTGTTTAATTTCAAAAAGTTTTGAATTTTTGAATGTCTTAATTTTTGTGGAAAATCCTGTTCCAAAAATAAGATTAAAATAGAAATTGTGCAAATATTTTTCTTCTTTTTCTAAAGCAAAATAATAATTTTGTTAAAAAAATTGTGATTCATAAAGAAAAATAATGCAAAATGAATAAATTTCTTATTCCTTATCACAGTTGTTTAATAATTTTCTAATTTTGTTTAAAAGTAAAGAACAAAAATCTGCCTAATTTCAATTTGACAAAACATATTATTTAACAAAATTTTAGTCTTTGAATGAAATATTAAAATATTAAAGCAATTGAATTCTTATGATGAATCAAATTGTTATTTAAGAAAATAATTGAATTTTATAAAAATTCCTGAATATAATTTTTGAATTTCTGCGAAGAATTTTGCAATTTTGCAAATTATAAAGATAATTGAAATATTGACGAGAATTTATTTTAATTTTTGAAAATAATTGAATTTCTGGAAAGAATTTTGATATATATATTAATGTAGTTGAATTCTGTCATAGAATTAGGTTAAAATTTTCAAAATTTAATTTAATTTTAACAAAATTAAAATTCACAATAAATTATTGTCAGAAGTAGAAAAAATTTAAGGTTTTTTTTTGAAAATTCCTGCTAATTTCATGGTTCATGAGGCAAACAAAAAAAGATAAAAAAATCAAATTATCTTATAAATTCTAAAAATTTAAATTTTTTCAATACTTTTAGTAAAAATCCCTGCCCTTTTCAAGATTTCCATGACCAACACTATTTCCCCTGACTTTTTCCTGATTAGTACCCTGACCTGTGTCAACCTTGTAATTCTAATTGAAATTTTGAAAAGCTTTTAAATTAAAAATATTGATAATCGTAATTTTCCATACTTTTAATTAAAAAATCTGTAAAACTAATTTTTTTGAAAAAATTTAATACACTTTTCTTGATAGATTTCAATTAAATTGTACGTCAAATTTCGGTTATTCGGAAATTTTTCAATTAAATATACATTAAAAAATTAAAATCTGAAGTAATTAAAAAAAAAAATCCATTCAACTTTTTGTAGAAACTTAGTTCCATAGAATTTTTAATTAAAAGTATAAAAAATTCAGATTTTTAAAGATTTTCATTCGAAACCTTAGCAAAATTCAATTATTTCAAAAAGTTGCAATTATTAGTAACTTCTTAAAAATTTAATTATTATTATATGAAAATTTAACTGAAATTAAATTTGAAATCACTTTTTAATACAAAATTCTATTCAATTATTTAAATACAAACATAGATAATTTATTGAATATAATATTGCGATATTCAGAGTTTTCCTTTTTCCAGAACATGTTTCTGACTTTTTCTTCTTCTCCTCGTTCTCGTCAAATAAGACGGTCTCAAATTCTTTATTATGCAACCTCTTTAAATGTTTTTTAAAGGAACCAGCGTGTTTTTCCTATAAAAAATTAATTAATTATTATACATTTGAAAAAACAGTACATCAATACATTGAAGAAAAAATTTATTTCACTCAAATAATTAATTAAAGATTGATATGAATATTTCATTTGATTTTTCCCTGATTTTTCACATGTCAGTGAAATTTGACTAAGAAACTGTTACTCAACTCTGACGATTTAAATCAGTGAAATTTCACTGAAAATCAGTTCAGTTAAAAATGATTTAAGAATCAGTAATTTTTCACTGATTGAACAAGTAAGAATTACTAGATTTCTTCATGTTTTATAATAATTAAAGATAACCAAGTAATAAAATTATTATTTTATATTATAAGAATATTAAACTTCTTCAAAATTATTTTCATTATTTCAATTCAATTATTATTTTCAAAAAAATTTAACTACAATTTTACTTTATATCAATTATTTTTAATAATTTTCTCGAAAAAGTTCTTTGGCAATTTTCAAATCCATTTGCTTGCAATATTCAATTTCACGAAATTTCAATTATTCCTAAATTCTCTAATTAAATGCATATTAGAAAATAAAAACTTTAAA